GTCGCCGGGCTGGCCTCCTCTGTGCCCGCGGGCGCTTATACTTTGGCGCTTTGTGGCGCGTTCTGCGACATTCCTCCTACACGACGCGATGAGCGCCTCTCCTCCGAGTCCGACCCGCCCCCGGCGCGGCGCGTTCTTGATATGCTGACTCGCCGTCTATTCCATTCCTTGTTCCTGACGTCCTCGCTCTCTCTTCCTTGGAAGCGCGTCCTTGTCCTCCCTCTTCCCGACCTCTCCAAAGTAAAACACGCCGACGACTCCGTTTATCTTTATCTTTATCTTTACCTACAGAGTCCAATTTACGCACACCAAGCGCAACTGGTGCTAGCATCTCGCATCTTAGGCATCCCACATTTCCATGTATGTATTCCTTATTCACCCGGCGTGCCCTTACCCGTCCCACCTCCCATTCACTCATCTTCCCCCACTCGCTGACAGATTCATACTAGTGTAGCGAGTACTGTCGGACCTCCCAATCACCGATTACTGCAATACTGATGGCTTTACTTGGACTGTTACTATACGTCTTTCTTTGCATCGGCGCGATGTGGCTTTCTTCAGCACCGGCGCTGAAAGATCGTGCGCCTCCTGTCTCCTGCCTCAGAGTCCCACCGGCTCTGAATCTTTAATCTTGAGTATTCTCAAGCTCATCCCGATTCCAGAGACGCTGCGTTTGATACAATAGTTTGATACAATAATACACGTTCCACTACTCGAGTCCAGGCGCTCGGTGAGAAGGGGTGGATTCTATCGTATACCGATAGCGCTCGAGGACCAACACAGCGGTTAATATTAATATTAATATCGCGCTCGAGCCAATCGTGCGTGCTCCTGCTTCATAGATTGACAAATGAGAAAGGATTCAGAGAGCGACGAAGAAGTTGACCCTCATGGGACTAGAGATACTTACTTGCTTGTTAATCAATTCAATGCTCGGCGGGGATGTAGAACGCTGCTAGTGAGTTACATTTTTCTTCTCTCTTTCCTCCAGCGCCGAAAGGCAAGGGGTGAATCTCCCGAATCGTGATCCAAGTTGAATTTAGTTTGATTACATGTAACGACTTCCCAGAAAAAAAATTACTTCCGCCGGGCGCTATTTCGCCCGGCTGCTATGTAGGCCCAAGGTGAGCCCGTTGCGTAAATCAACTGAGCCAGGCAGGTGGTAAATAAGAGCGTTCTTGAGCCACATCATGTGCCAACTACGAAAACCTGCTTGCACGTTTTTGGAACCGACTTCAAACCGGACAGGATTCCACTCTATCACCTCCTGCCCCTGGCCTTCAGCGATGTCCGCCATCCCCACACCGGGAACGTATCAGGGTCCTGAATCCACTTTTCAAGCACCCACGAGGCATCAGGGTCCAACAGGCGGAAGTCCTTCGCTCTCCACGACCACTCGCGGAACTGCTCCACATCGCGTAAGGCCCCGTATCCCATCGCAATCGCGTCCAGATGTCTCCCGTAATCGAGCATCTCCAGCCCTTCGGACTCCATCAACGCCACCGCGCGTATGCGCGCGTTGATGAGCGCGTGGTCCGCCATGGTCGCGTCAAGGCACCATTTCTCGAATGACGGGAGCGAGGCCTCGAGTGTATGTAGTTCCGCACGGGCGGCGTCGCTCTTGGATATCACCGCCTCGGGACGCGCACAGAATTCGCATCGGCAGGAGAAGTTGTACATCGCCTTGAGCCTAGTCCGCCGCTCGCTCCGGCTAAGTGTTGGCGTAACGTACGCGACGGTGATCTCTTGCCCAGCCTGAATCGGGCGCAGCGCCACAAGCGAGAGCGAGAAGGACGCGGGGTCCCATTGCCATTTTGCGTTTGGGCCACAGCTACGTGGAATATTTGTAAGCCATGAGGTGAGAGCAAGACACGAACACATAGACGCACCTGTGGTTGCATCGACTGATGTTCAGAAATATCCCACGGTGCGTGGGGAGCTCGGGGTGCGGCACATCGGGAACGTCGAGTGTAATCGCAATTGAATTGGTATGCATGATACCCTCGATTATATCACATTCCGAAGCCGGCTTACAGTTCGCCAGCTCCATGAAACGTGCCACCGTCTCGGCAGATAGCCGATGAAGAAGTGCGGCGTAGAAGTCGGATTCTGGGTGTGTCTGGAGTGCAATTATGTACGGCGCGACAATGATGGGCCGCTCTACCGCGACGAGGCCTCCAACCGGGATATTCTGGGCTGCAAACATGCCCAGCGAATGGTTCTTCTCGCTCCTGCGAATGGCAAAGGTCACGCCCTTTGGAGAGGGAACGGAAGGAGCGGGCATTGGAACGGGGAGCAGGTTTTTAACACCGACATCGAGTAGGGTGGCTGTCTTGTCTGCAGCGTCGGCATAGACAACATTGTGCAAACAGTAAGAGCGGTTTCCGATGTGGCCGGCGAGATCGAAGTATGGTGAGTCCAAGATGGGATTCGACCGTATGTCCGCGTTCATTTGAGCACAAAACTGTAGCGGGGGCGGGCGACAACGTTCGCGCCGCAAATACGATGTGGAAGCAGAGACGTGCTTGAATTCCGGGGAGGAGGACCCCTGGCTCGTGGAGTGGCTAGTGGCAGTGGGCATAGTGCTTGCTGGACCAGTGTGAGTAGTGAATATTTAAAGAAGAACAGAAAGGGGCCACTTCGAAGCAGGCCACCCAAGCACTCATGGAAATAGAAATAACCAAGGGCGCATTCAACTTTTGAACATGAGGCCACCCCACTTTCAATCCGCCGATGCCGGCAATCAGTGAGGGCATGGTTTTTACTCACCTTCTCGGAGCGTACTACCTACATATGTCACCGCGAAGAAAAGAGGCATCCAAAACGCATGGTTTATCTGTGTTTTAAACGAACTGTTCAACTGCTACTGAATCACAAAATCCCATGACGGAATGAAGCATATATACCAATTGATCAAAACCCACGCGAAGGCACCCCAAAGAACGCATACCGCATCGAAGACGTCGGGTGCTACGCGACACCTTCGTTGCTTGATAGCCGACGAAGATAGTCATCCATGGTGAATTTTCAGCAAATATGGCCACGCTGTTTGAGCGCAGTGAACGTATATAGAACACCTGCGAAGCTCTCGACTGTGGATCCCAACGCATGTCCGAGGAAACATTACAAGATACTTCAAGCTCAGGTGATTGTGAAGACTCTGGCGGTTAAAAAGGGGTGAATCGATTTAACCGGCTTGACGCGGACCCCTCGCGCTGAGCCTCGCGAATTTGGAACGGCTCTAGTTTCTCGTAGACAGACGCTTCAACGAAAGAAGTTTCGTGGAACGGCTCATGGTGGCGGAGAAATATGGCTCGCGGCTCAGATTGAAAGCGGTCCAGGATCGATGCGATGCTCGGCGAGTTTGAGGACTGGCCGAGGCGGAGGGCATAGAGTGCACATGAATACAGGCCAGAAGAATTGCGTTCACACTCGGAGATGCGTTCAGAACCCCAGTAGCGTACCGCGATGTAGCCGAAGCGTAGCCGAAAGTGATGAGGTCCGTCTAGGCGTCAAGTGCGTACCCGGCGGCTAGCCGGAGTTCGGACCTAGAGGCTTCACAGTTGAGGGAATAGAAAACGCATGAGACGGCCAGCAGCCCTAGACAAAGTGTGTCGACGCATGTCTAGTGCATCGTCGTGTACCTCAATGCGCATCAACACGGCTTCGTCTAGGCAACCGAGATCAATTAAATCTAATTATGTAGACGCGCCTCGCCAAACATAGCGCAACCTAGCCGGCGGCCCAATGCGCCTAAACTTGGGTTCGTTGAGGAAGGGCCAGAACGCAGTGATGGGTAGGCGAACGTAGAGATGGTGAGGGAGAACGCAGGCCATGCGGTCAATTCTTCCCAGATATTCATTACGGTTAGGGTCATTGAAGAAACGTTCAGCCTGAGGCGAGAGACTGGGCCAGCAGATCAAGAGGCAAGAAAAAAATAGCCGACGTCATCGCGCTGACCAATCTGCCTGTGCCATGCCTAGACCTTGCCGCTGCCTCTTCATTGATTTAACGTCCGCTTCGCAAACCCTGAAGACTGCTACGTGCCAGCAATCTCTTCCATATTCATACCAAGCACATATGTCGGAAAAATCGGCGGAAGCCGATAAGATTTGATCAGGCCTGATGAGGGGAGCCAACGCAAATGTACCAGAATCAAATGGTCTTGTCTGGTGGGGACAGGACGTGCTCAATTGTAATATAGATATGTCAATTATTTTCTCATTTATAAAACACGGAAAATCAGAGCTCTCGGGGAGCTCTGATCAAATTGGTGGTGTAGGGTTCCTGAGGAATACAATCACATACTAGGAAGCGAAACACTCTGATTGCACGGCGTATAGTGAACTCAATATTAGGTCAAACCTCTGGTTTCTTTTTCTAGTCTCATGAAGCGGCCTCCAGGCCATCCGATAGATAAAGGGATCACAAGATTAGACTTTGTTTTGGTGGAGAACGAGCGGATTCTATGTCGGGAATCAAAATTTACCAAATAACGTGATAACGAAACACTACAATACAAACGAGTGTAGCTCGGCCAATATTCATCACCACAAACCTCAAAAACCTCCCATGAGAGTTATTTGGCGGTCCAAAGGTGCCACACCGCTGCATTTGCATCACGTGTGAGAAACTGGTAAATCACAGGCACAAACAAGATCACACTGTACCGGTGCTACAGAAGCTTTTTCAACAATTCCTTCGGGGGACAGAGAGTTCATATGAAGCAGATATAGCTCCCAAAAACTTGGGCTCATCTGCAACCTCTGAGTTAGCTAACAGTGCATTGTTTCGCTTCTATGTCACGTTTTGCTTCCTAGTATGTGACTGTATTCCAATGGAGATGGTCATCTTCGTCCTAATGAGGTGTGACATTAAATGCCTGACACATCTACCCCTTAATGTGCAAATGCCCTTACTTTCAGCATACATACATTGGGAGAGGTTGAGATTTGTAGTTGCGAGTGCGCGGGAGCAAAAGCAGCCAAGCCAAAACAAAATACACCAAAGGGGAGTCGAACCCCTGCCGCTTGCTCTCAAGATTACACAATCAGAAATGATTACGTAAGCATGGAAGGCAAGCATGATAACCGCTTCACCATTGGTGTGTTAAAAACAGACTCCCTGGAAGCTCTGTAGTCCCAAAACTTCTTAAATTGCACTAAGTTGAAAGGGGTTCAACAAATTGAACAAATTGAACTACATTGAAAGGAGTAATTCCCTAGTCAAAAAAAAGGGGCAGATGAATGTGGTCACATGCCGGAAATCATTGTGTCAATTTGCAGAACAAGGGAGCACAGAGTCGGTGGACATGAAAACACCTTGATGTGAGTGGTACTTGAAATTATTGTATTAATTTTCAACCAATCCACGAAGTAGACAGGAACCACACTGGCAGACCACCATGGCATTGGAGAGATAAGATCAACAGACCACATAATGTCCTGGATGGAATCCTGGCCTACCAGGCATCCTAAAAAGGGGCTGAATTTACCGAAAGGGACTCACGATTATCACATTGAGCCGACAAGCAGAGTAACACAACGCAGATCAAACCAACACGGTGAAGTTATACCCCAAACAAACTGAGTGACTTGAGAGTTTAACTTTTGAGTAGACCAAGACAATTCTTTCAGTGGTTATACATACACAATGTTCATGGTGGTGTGTGCTGTCAAGGTGTTTCATGGATGCTGTGGATTCAACAGACAGTGGACTCTGCAAAGTTAGAGCTGTTGTGTCATACTGTATAGATCTGTATGTAGGCAACCGCACCAGAGGTGTTAAGATTTTTTAGGTTGCCCTCTAGCAACCGAGCCCCAGTGAGGTGTTATGTTGCCTAATTTAGGCAACAGTGGTCGATTTTTTCTGGTGCCACAATGAGTCGAAATGGTAATTACTTGAACAATGGGATATGCATTCAGGTAGGATAAATATCAGATGCAGCTTGAATGATCACCTGATTCACCATGCCACCCCCATCCAAGTTTGTCGGTCCCAGATTGCCTCTGGGGACCCCCAAGAGCTCGAAGCTTGGATTAAAGGTTGAGGAGCAGTGGAGATGTGGAGAACATTTGGGTGTACAATGATAATGGTGTGCCATGGAGCAAAGGAAATTTGGCAGCTGAGACCTTTACCTCTTTGTAGATAGCTGTAGATTTTTCAACGATTTTGTGACCTTGTTTTGTGGTGGAAAATGTATTTTAAAATATAGGTTACCGGGTAGCAACCCACCTCTGTTACACGTTACAATCTGGAAATTAGGCAACATTTTTGAGGCAGCATTATGTGTTACGTTGCTACCATACAGATCTATACAGTAAGCTCAGTTGAGCAAGGATGAACTGGAGGCATGTTGAAAAAGTGAGTGTTAAAGGGTAGATATACTCACAGTGCAAGGTAATGATGGTGGCTCACTTTCCTTCTAAGTAGTAAATGACGCTATGGTTTGATGATTCCCGCTATGTATATAGTGGGTTTTGGGGGCGACTAAAATGGCTGATACACAATTTTTCAACATACTGTCTCAATTCCATATTGGGGGGGAGGGGGTATATTATACTCGCGTGGTCCACAAACTGAACAACGAGTTTATGGAAGACAAACATGTAGTACTGTAAGGGTGGTTATCCATACAGAATTCTACAAGATGCCAACTGAGCACAACATCATTCCAGGGGGTCGATATCACAAGACCATGGCTATCTGTGGACTGGCCGGCCTCGAATGGCGGGACATCTGGATAAAACCCTGTGGGACCTGACCACCAGCTAAAAATGCTGGTGTGCAGGAAGAGTTCCCTATTCCCAGGTATAAATCCCCAGATTCCACCAGTACACAAATGCTGTCATAAATCTTTCCCTTTGCAGATGCATGCAACAACCACAAGTACAACTCTACCTCTGAAAAAGTAGAGCTGCTGATTGTAAGACTAATTTCTGAAGAGACAGTCATGAGAGTACAACCCAAAGGTCGCCTTCCCTGCAGGTTCACCTCTGAAGAGGCGAACACAATGGATGGGTGCTGTTCCGAGGCAACAGTGCCGAAATAAAACAATGTCCAGACAGAAAATAAATACGGCACTCCATCCCGATGGGAAAAAGCAAGTCCAGAAACAGTGCTCCATCCCGATGAGCAGTGAATAAGCACCCAAGCCGTGATGGTGCTTCTGTCGATCCTGATCGGACCTGTACGTTCCGAAGCAGTGTCAAGGCTATGCAGGTGGATTGATCAGAAGCATAGGCGTCGCGTCGTATATCTTCAAGATGTTGAAGGCCAGTTTTCCCAGAGAGGGCGTGACTTGCCTCTTTGCAAGCACCGCTTTAAAGAATGCCAGAGCATCAGTAAAAGCACCTTTGAAATCCGGGATCTGTGCATACAACTCGACCAGAAACACCTCTCGAACTCGCATGAGTTTGGGGTTATCGCAGACAAACATGACGTGGGCTGGGTCCTCAATGGCATCCTCACAAAATCTGCATTTATGCCACTCACGTGGGACCATGGTCTTTCCTCTTTCTTTCCACCTGCGGCGTTCCACGGTGAGGCTGTGGCTGGACAAGACCATGCATGTCAGAGCGCGGCGATGGTCCGGAGTTTTGATCCTGAGGTAGTGGCGGAAGTCCAAGACTTTCTTTACCAGTTTACCACTGTCACTGTCGAGTTCCAGTCGACCTGACAGCATATCCTTCATGCACGATGACATCTCAATCTCGGTGTTGATCCATGCCTCCATTGAGTTTTTGACCTGCTCCATCGCGTCTTTCACCGCTTCTATCCCCAACGAACCCGAGATATCAATTTGGACAGGTATGTACAGCCGTGAGAGTACAATGCTCAGATCGTTAAGCCAGGAAATCTTTTTGCGCGCGCAAGATCTAGCGACTCCTGCAGGGCATTCCATGCCGGTCGATCTAACTTCTCGAGGCCCAGAAGGTAGTACAAATTTTTTAACGCCAAATATACCCTCCGATATCTGATCGGCCATATTCTAGTCTCGGAGAACAACACCGCCTTCATTGAAAGTGCCCCCACTCCAAGCATCCGGCGGAGGAACTTCAGCTAAACCTTTTCCAATAGTTTCAGACTCTTCTCCTCAACGTCCAAGCAAACATAGCATCCGGCCATCAGGTATGGGTCCACACGGGCCATGTATAGAGTACGCATGTCCCATGTCGGTAGGGTACCAACAAACCGATCGAGCCACAGTTGCAGCTTTCTTGGCCTTTACTTTATATTGTTCCCGCCACATGAATTTGCAACCCGTTTCGAACCAGATCCCAAGACACCATCATCTCTTGATCCAACCCCCCTATGTGTCCTTCCCACTCCACTTGACACCCCTCCTCCTGATCTCTCTCACCCCACGCACCCAGACATTCAACAGCCCATTCCAAGTCTCTGCTCCTCAACATATCTGTTTTGATTAATGGTGTTGTACCTGTCTTTCACCTATTCGAGAGCCTTGCAGTGCTTGTCCATCTCTTCTGCATTCGCTAGCCACTTCCCCCCAGCCATAAACTCCTTTATCTTACCACCATCCACGTTGGATGTCTCGGGTCTCACTTCATTACCCTGCACTGTGATATCTCACTAGACAATCAGCACCTTCTCGTGCTTGGCTTGGACTGGTCGGCTTACCTGCACGACAGTCTCATTGCATCTGGATTCCGCCTCTCTGCCTCATTTAATTCCTTTGATGTATTGAGTGATATCGGTGTGTTTATACCCCTCCCTAACTCACACATATACTCAACTCGTTTCAGGTTCTCTTGAGCTATATCCACTGTCAAGTCCTTGACCTGACGCTTTCAACCTTACATGTTATCATGCCTCACTGTTCTACTCTCACTCCACCTGGTGACCAGCAGCCCGTTGAACCCCACCATGCATTCTCAGTTAGCTGTTGATATGCACAGTATGCATATTTTCTAGACTGCTCCACCCACAGTCATCTGTCCCGGTGTCACTCAAGTTTTTTTATATTTTAAATTGCTGCCTGCATCTGTTTTCTGACTACTCTGTTCTTCCCCTGGAATTTACACTTTGCATCTTTAATTCTGAACTTTGAACCGTGATCTTTGCCATCACATATCTTACCATCCACTTTTCATAGGTTATACAGTCGCTACCAATAGAAGCTCTTCTTCAACTGTACCTCTTATTGAGAATACTACCACAATGAGCAACCCAAAGCCTATGTCAGACATATCAGTCTGTTCCCACCGTTTGATTGATTAGCATTATCCATGTCTTCACCGAAATGGACGGCTTTCATTGGGGACTATTTGGTTTCATCACCTTCTAGCTTATGGTATCCCCTTCCTCTTAAACTCGCTGCTTGCTCTGTTAGCTTGAAATTGAAGGACCAACACATCTAACATTCGGTTTCTGTATCTCAAATATCTACTGGCCAGTATATTTCTTGCTGTGCATCAATCATCTGGGATGTTCATCAATTTATGTACTGGGACCGCCAATTTCGGCCGTACCCTGGTCATCAATGGATCCACCAAGATTCAAGACCAACTGTTCTGCTTCCACACTGTTACAGAAATGTCTTCATAGATAGGTTGATCTTTTGCATAAATTTACTTATAATTCATCTATATTTTCTGCCAATAGGGGCAGTCAGAGTAGAGGACTATGGAGGGATTATGTCTTGTGATTATGGATGGATTATGGATTTATTTCAGCATGGCACAATCCTTTTAAATCAATAATCCTTCATAATCCTTTGATAATCCACATACAATAAAGGAAGTTTTTCACCAATATTTCCACTGAAATGCTCAACCAGTGATCACAACCTCTCGAGATATCGCTGCCAGCATTCTCTTCGCAAACACGCACATCTGTAGGAGGTTCAATTGAGTTATTTCACATTCCAGTGACTCTGCTGACATGTGCAGATCTTTGAGGATTTTTTTGGATTTGTATCCTGAAGTCCAGTGCACACATTCAGCACATGATCATGTTCTAAAGTTATTCCTTTCATTTATATGAGCAGTTGTCTGACATCCCCTTTTCTGAATCCACTGAGAATTAGCAGCAGCAGCGGCCTGTGGACATCAGGGTGAATTCAGTGCAGACCTGGGCATCACGGCCG